AAAAAAATTACCCAAAAAGTAAAAAGAGAACCACAAACCAGGAGGACATATTTGCAACACATATAATCATTAAAATTAAGTAGTTAACGTTGTCAGTAGTCAGATTAATATAAATTAATAGCACTATGATTCCTGCCTACTGGTGTGGCACAGCTTTCAATGTCTGACAGCGCCCCTGCTGGTGAGGATCTGGAGTAGCAGGAAATCTCCCTCACAGGTGGAAATGTAAGTGGTAGAATGTACTTGGCAGTGACAGTAAAGTTTAACTTTTATGTATTCTACATCCTGGCAATTTCTTTCCTAGATGTTTTCACAAATACAAGGGAACTGCTTGTGTATGTGTAGCTAAAGCCATAGATGATTGTTCCTAACAGTACTTCTCATGATAACTGCCAACTGGGAATAACTCAAATATCCATCCACCGCGGGAAGGAGGCTGTGTTTATACCTGGGCTGTCAGACAGTTGGGAGAATGAAGACTTCAGCTCCTGATGCCAGCGGGGTGAATATCAAAAACAAAATGGAAAGCAGAAGGAGCAAACCAAAGAAGCATGCATCACTTTTTTAAATTAAGTTTCAAAACTGGAAAAATTGAAGAAAACATGGTTTAAAAATCCCTAGATTGATGTAAAAAGGGTAAAAGAAAGAGAGGGAATGAAGAACACAAAATTTAGGGAAAGAAAGATAATTGGAAGAAAGAGGACGTAATAGGGAAAGTGAACGGCAGAAAACTGTTCATTTTGTAACTACTTTTACTGTGTACACATATGTTTACGTTTGACAATTTAAAAATAGAAAGAGGCTCAGCACTGGTGGCACAGTGGTTACAGTGCTGGCTATGTACACTGAGGTTGGCAGGTTCAAATCCGGCCCGGGCCAGCTAAACAACAATGACAACTACAACAAAAAATAGCCAGGGCCTGTGGCGGACACCTGTAGTCCCAGCTACTTGGGAGGCTGAGGCAAGAGAATCACTTAAGCCCAAGAGTTTGAGATTGCTGTGAGCTCTGATGCAACGGCACTCTACCCAGGGCCACATAGTGAGACTCTGTCTCAAATAATAATAATAATAATAAAATAAAAATGGAAAGAGTTTTCTGATCACTCCCACCACTGATGAAATTAGGAAAGTATGGAGCATTAAAACTAAAATCGAGTTCAGTTCCCTCAGGGTATAATTATTGAGTTATTTAAATATGTCAGTGGCATTTCTACCCCTGCCAGGAAAATAAACCAAAGTAACTCAGTCTCAGATCTGCTGCAGATGCAGAGACCCGTATTCCAGACTGAAGCCACAGCAGTCCTCACATTTTCACAACTACTAGCTGGGAAGTCTTATCACTTGGGATTGTTTTCATACTGGTTTTCTTTATAGGAAATATGAAATTTGTATTGATTTCAATAATATCACAGCAAACTTCAATCACCAGGGAACAAAGCCAGGGAATCGTGTTGCGGGATACTCATCCATGTCTTCGTTTCTGGGATATAACATCAGCTTTCTTTTGTGAATCAGGACAGTCTTATTAAATCAGAAGAGGAAATGTCCGTAAAGACTTAATAAGAACCCAGAAGGAGAATTCAAAATAATTAACCACCTTAATCATTTTAGCTTCATTACTAATTTATAGTATTGGCATGGTTGGGGATTCTGTTCTGGCATATTAATTTGATTTTGAATTGCCTTCAAGCTTGGTGCCATGGGAACGTTTCTAAACTTATTGAGAGAATCTTTCATTATAAGATGCTTGGGCATTGTAGTACAATTGATTTGTGATCAGTTGATTGTTTACCTCAGATTACTTAAGGTTTTAGTCTATTTAACATGCAAGCTTTGCGATAATTGCTCAAAGTAAAATTCCAGAGGCCTTTTAAAGTTTGACAAATGCATTGATAATTTTTATGTGACTGTTATAAACTTTGGATGCATCCTGTAATGATAGGAGTAGGAACTTGAATGGTCGATTGTAATTGCTTGGAAATGATTGGTAATATCCTTGACTCAGGAACTGTAAAACTGCCTGCATTGTTTTAATTCTAAAAAATAACTATAGGATGCAGCATTTTGTCTATTCAGTATGTAAATAATCAAATTATTATTCAGTAAGCGCTCCGATGACATTAAGAGGCTAGTGCTAGAGTGTGTCCATAAAGCACACATAAGTCTGGTCTGTCTGTACAATAAATTCTGAAAACTAAGTCTGTACTGACCTTAATTAGCATTGCTTTTGGTTGCAGCCATCATTGTTTGGCGGGCCCAGGCTGGATTCGAACCTGCCAGCTCAGGTGTACGTGGCTGGTGCCTTACCCGCTTGAGCCACAGGCGCCGAGCCCCCAAGCATTGCTTTTTAAAACAGTGATTAGAATGGTTTGTACTCTTGATCAGTATGATACGGCTGAAAACATGGAAAGCCCAGCATTATGACTATTCCTTTTTTATTCCTTCCTGATTTTCTTGTATTTTAAACAATAGACAACTGAATGATTTATATTCTCTCTCCTTTGTTTGTGGTAATTATGTTGTGATTTCACTAGAAAGTTGGGTCACTTTATGCCGTTCTTTAATCTTGTGAATTTATTCTTTCTGAATATAGTTTTTAGTGCTGAAAGGCCAACATATACTAATAGTTTAACCCCTCTTTGCTTAAAATAACCAGACATTTACTACTGCCTGTGCTGTATTAAAAAAAAAAAAAAA